TGCTTTTAGGGTCCTGCATCAAGTAGTCATAAATTTGAGGATAATTAAGAATAAGAAATGAAATTTGCATCAAGTCAGATTTAATCACTAGAAATTCTTATCCCATTTGTTGTCAAAGGTCTTCAGTACCTTTTTTCAAAATTGAACTGTTCTCTCATATGGCCTATGATTCTTTTCATATTTTTTTGTGAAGGCAGTGTTAATTATTGTTTAAAAAAATCAGCATCTTATTTTTTGCTCTAAGAACATGGTGTTGCGATAGAAAAAGTATTGTATTTTGGACATGTTGTTGATTTTGTATAGAAAATGCTTTTTAAGTAGTTTTAGTATTGGTTCCTAGATGCTGTTGATGTGCCCTCATTTCAGTAAGGAGATTTCATAATCCGGCAGAATGTGTTTTGTAGCTGTTCGGGCAAATATTATATTTCTGATTTCTCTAATATTTGCACAGAATACTTTGATGTCATTTATTATAATTCTAATAAAATCCTGATATTAATTATGTTATGTGCAGTAGACATTTGTGTAACATGATGTATTGTCATTAACATCAGGAAATGACATTAGAATATATGGATGTTGGTCATATGTAACAAGTAGAGCAATATTGCTTTTCTCTGTGGCTACTTTTATTGGCAGAATAAGTTTTGTTTCATTGATTTTTAGGTGTACATGCAAGTGCCACATTTGTATGCTGTATGTATAGAGGATGAGATGGATCCCAAAGTACACTTATGTTTGTTTTTTTTTTTTTTCAGAGATATTAAAGCATTTAATTATGCCTTTATTTAAAAAGTGTGAATTAATCTTAATTTTAGTTCACAGTCTAATTCTTTGTGGAAATGTTGCTGTCAGAATCTGAAAACTAGATATAGATCTTGTTATGGCGTGTTGCATGGACTCTATAGGGACCTCTAAGATCATGCACTTGGCAGACATATTAGTTTGGAAAACTGATTCTCTGCAAAGCCATTGGAAATGCTGTTAAATTCAAAATTAAATTATTTGAAGATTCTCAGAAACTTGTTGGTTTTTTTTATAATTGTTTCACTGCTAGTTTTCCAATTGGCTTTTCTTCTGCATTAGGTGTTTGATGTTAGGCTGTGATGCATGTGCAAGCCTTGTAATAATTAATTGGTAGCTAGAATTAATTTGAAAGTATTTTCTAAAGAAAAAAATTAAATGTACAGATTTCAAACATCAGAATTTATTATGAAATGAACAAGGTGCTGCCTGTGATGTGGATGGTTACAGTAAGTGAAAAGTAAACTGAACACTGTAGAACCTTTCTTAATGTTGACAACCAGAAAGTGCTCTGTCAGTGGTAATGGTCTTGTTAAATTATCTTACATTTGATCTAATTTGGCAGTGGACTGGCAGAATTGCAGTAGTCAGAAATTGGCATATTTCTTAAAAGGTTGAAAAGATATGTTAGCCATGTATTGTATGATGATTGCTTTTCATGATAATGTGTCATTCACAATGCCATTGGTGATTATAATGTGCCGTTGAAATTCAGACTGAAATATTGATAGTTGCAGTTGTTAAAAATACAATGAAACCTGCCTTAGCAAACACTTTCATCAGTGTATCCCCCAGGGGTGTAAAATTGAGGGGTAAAGAAAAAACCCTTGGTGTCAAAACTAGGGGTCAAGTGAAAAATGTGCATGTCAAGAATGTACTGACAAATTTTCATCTGACCGATAATTTTTCAGCTTAAAATAGGAAATTGCAAATTGCATTACATGCCCTCTTTCTAAGAAATACAAATCAACCAACATGCAGAATAATCAGATGAAGGCATTGTCCATTCATAGAGTTTATTATTGCATTTTCCTTTAGTTTATAGTTGTATATTTAACAGTCTCCTTCATTTTTTTAGCATTATTATAAACCCACACATTATGTATAACATAAGCCAATACAAAACCCCAAATAAACCATTTTTAACAAATGGCAGCTAATTTACTGCCCATGTCATAGATTGTGTACTTTCATCAGTTTTATTTTCCTAGAACATGTTTATCCAACAAATCATAGAGGCTAATGGTTCATCTTCTTTTTAGTAAGTTACACTTGTCTTTTTCTCATTCCAGCAAAGTAACAAACCAGCAAAACTACAATAACTCTCCACCCACCTTGTAATCCAAATATTGTATTTTTCTCAGCAAATTTACCCATTTCTTTGATGTGAAAGAATGCTTTGAGTGATGATGTGTTTTCCAAATGCCTTGTGGCAAACAAGGGCAGGTTTTGAAAATTTTTAAACCTAGTTATGAAAGGAATATCCACTTTTGCAGTCTTCAAAATTTTGCAAGCAAAGGACACAATCATAATTCCAGTAGCTATGCCATATTCCTGTTGTGTTCTTCTGCTTTCTAGGCTAGTGATTATTAGTGCACAACATTTTCATCTGGAGATCATTTACTAGTCACTAGTTTGTCTGGATGACATTGCTGAACTAAATGAAAATCATGTGCAAGATTGCAAGATTAGGGGAAACCGCTCCATCATAACACTGCCTATGCTTAAAGTATACACAGTCCCATCCCATATCCTATGCTTTGGATATTTTATAAGTCCTGATCGCATTATATGAATACTTTGTGTCAAAAGTTCACATGACAACAAAAAATGTATATCAGATATCTGTGATACACGTCTCTGATGTACAAATGTGCATGAATAGAAACATTGTTTCATATAAAGGACATTTTCCTTAGGCTAACATTTAAAAACAGAACCTTGTCTTTATTTCCTTTAGATATTTAATCTCACTCAAGCATACTTATTCATAAAGAACATGGTCATTTTAGTACCCTTTTAGAGATATATTTCACAGTATTTATATCTTTTGGACCATGGAGTTAGCAACTTCATATTTGTATAAAGGACATTTGGTGGTTCCATGATATATTAGGATCATAGAGTTCAGTAAACTCTTTTCAGATCACTGTTTGAACATATCCTACCAATCTTGAGGGTGAGAACACTATTCATATGTAAAGTACAGCATTTTATTGTTATGTTTAGATTGTATATGATGACAATAGTTTACATGTGTATATGTTGGGAAGATATCAAGTTTGTAGAAAAATTTCCTTATATTTAATTTGTGATAACAATCTCATGAATGTGCACTTTGGATTATTGCATCTTGATGTAAATAAGAAATATTTTATTTAGTAACATATTTGTGGTGTGAATTCATTAAATTTGTATGGCATTGAAAAATAACCTCAGTTTTGTCATTGGTTTGAGGCATGAGTCCTGTTGTTTCCTTAGTATAATCATTGTTCATTAGGTCTTTAAATGCACGCTTTGTTGCAAGCAGTTAAAACATGATAATTTCTACCCCATACAATTATTGAATTCACAGTACTTTTATGTAGAGAAGAATATATTTTGATTTTTGGTTGATTGTCTTTATCCATATAGTTCAGTAATAGTGGACACACCAAATGGTGTACAAATGGATTGTCTTTTTAAAAATGGAATCTGTTACATGTCTCTGTATATATTGGTTTCAGAGTTTCTAAAGAGATGTTTACAGGTAGACTATATGTGTAAGATGTACTACATGGTAGTTTAATTTAGACTAATACCTCACTTGATATGCAGTAAACACTTTCAAAATGCTTTTGTTTTAATAAATCTAATGATATTGCCTATAAATATGCATTAACTTTGAAGTTGGGATTATTCCAGAATTAATGATATGAAATGGACTGAGAAAGCTAATCTATTCATAATGTGACCTGATACACCAAAGTAAGCCATGTCTGTATGTCTGAGGACAAATGGATCTCGCATAGCAATGTTGAGCTCCATTTCTCTCCTACAGAGCCTGATCTTTCTGTAATGTAAAAGGGATTATGTCCGATGTAGCTTGTGACATTTCAAGATATGAATATGTACTTAGTGTTTAGAAGTATGTTCTAAAACTTTTAAGGAGGCATTTAAGGCTCTTTAGAAACATTTTTGTAAGTAACAGCTCCCATGCATTGTTATGATGTACTTTTTTATTTACTGTATTGGACTTAGAAATGTATTTCTGGATGCGAGTGACATTTCATGACCAGAGGTTTAAATGTATTCATTTCTTATATCCTGAAACTTGTCCTTGGTTTGTTGGCATTGCTAATTCAGTGAAACGAGAATGCAAGATATTACTTCAGGTGTAAATTGCCTCTCGAAGTTTTGAAATAATTTTAATCGATTGAGCAATGAAAGAATTTCAGCATTTCCATGAACAAAATGTACTTGTGTAATAACAGGCCTCTCCTGTATATTTCTGGACAAGGGAACATGACCTAATTATCCTTAATTAATTTTATTTCAAACATATGACCTGACATCTTCTAGTGCAATATTCTACTAAGGGCATGAGGTAAATAACTCGTTAGGAAAACAGTCCTTTTTATCTATTTTGAAATGTTTGATAAATAAGGTAGCTTGATATTAAACACGACTTTTAATAATGTCCAAATAATAGTGTGTTCAAATAAACAAATTAGCATGAAATGGAACTTTGTTGTTCTAAATGTCTATATAAATATAACAGCAGGACATAAAATGCTGCCTTGTGTTGCAAAGGAAAGTTGATATTGTCCACAATATGATATTATAAGTTCTTTCTGTTATTTTGACAACTCCAGATCAGTAAAACAAGACACTAAACTACTTTGTCTTAATTTTCTAAATTATAATTGCATATTACTATATACAGTATTTGTTAATATACTTCAGGTATTTTTTATTGAAACTAATGAACTTAAATTCTTGTGCTTGTCTCTCCCACCCCCTGCTCCTCTCTCTCTCTCTCTCTCTCTCTCTCTCTCTCTCTCTCTCTCTCTCTCTCTCTCTCTCTCTCTCTCTCTCTCCTCTCTCTATATATATATATATATATATATATATATATATATATATATATATATATATATATATATATATTATAAACTCACACACAACTAGTACTGGGTTTCCTCACATTAGTGAACAGCTCCGGTGGCCTAGTGGTGAGAACATCTGTCTCGGACGCGGAAGGTTGTGGGTTCGAACCCCGGCCGAGTCATATTAAAAACTTTAAAAATGGTACTAACAGCTGCCTCGCTTGGCACTCAGCATTAAGAATGGTTGACCTGGTGTCAGGATAATGTGACTGGGTGGGACATCATGCTACATGTGCTAGAATCACTATTAACTGCCACACTGAAAACATCGTAGCAATATGATTGAAATTTTTTTTAAAGCTACATTAAAAATTATCATCAACATCACCTCCTAACCTCAAAACTTGATTTGATTAAGGTATTCATATGGAAATTGATTAGTTCTTGTAGTCTGGGTGGAGAAACTACTATATACAGGACAATAGAAATAATGCTCCTACCAATGCCCTTTCTCTGGACATTCAATACTAATGCCATTTTTCCTGACAATGATAACAGGTATCTACTTTTTTCGGTGGATCTGATTTCTCAAGACATAGAGCTTCCTTTTCTTTCATATTCTGGACATTTTTGAGACCAGTGTCATTTTTTCCTGATTGTCATAACAGGATATGATGGTATGATGGATCCTTTTCCAACACCACCCACCTCCTCCTCCATTCCAAAACCAAGATAGCCAAGATTCGACAAAAGAGGAAAGATGTTCGGTTGCTCCTGATGTTTATTTTCGTAAGAGAGTCTTGGAATATTAAGCCGAGCCATACAACCGAGCGAATTTAATATTTTTTACCTACAAGCAAGAATTTCGAAGGAGACCGCGTGAGGAATTCATGAAATGCAGAAACTTTAGGTTGTGCTCGCCGCTCTTTAAACGTTGACAGGGTATCATAGAGTCATTCGTGAAGGTCTGTTTCGAGGACCGAATTTTCCAGACGTTAAATGCATTTAAGAGAATAATCCAGTGTAATCACAATTATATACCTCACCTCCACCTAGTTTCACAAGTGTTCCGTAGCCATTGTAAACATTTTCACGGAAAAATAATTAGACTAAAATGATCTCGAAAACGAATAGTAAACCATATTCTAAGGCGGTTTTTTGTGCAGTGTTTCATCTTTACATTTATCTTTTAATCTTTTTGCATGACAAGAATGTTCATTTAAATCCCTATACTCATTCACATGTACAACACAGTTACCACGTTGAGAGTAATCATTCACAATATACAATGTATACTCATCAGTATGGAAAGTATACCATTATTTATTCACGCATCCAATTGTACTGGCCTTCTGAGGACGCTCGTATGTTTATAGGTATATCATGGGCATATGTATGGGATTAAAAAAAAACAAATAAGCCTTCATAGTAAGGAATAACATATAGGTCACGGTAATCTCTTTGGCTGTCGGGGTATAGCAGTAACATAAATACGTTCAATTATCGCATTTCAAGAATGGAATATAAACTGTAGCGAATAAATGAGCTTTGAACACACAATTTGAAAAGTTACTGAAGCATAAAATATAAGTCACATAAACATTTTTTGCAATAAAGATTTAGAATTTATCAAGATGCATCAACTCATGATTCTGGGTTGGATAGTATGTATATACCATGCCGGAATGTCGTGTCATGGGGTAATTGCAAAGATAAACTTTTCAATGCTAGTAGAAGATGAAATTTAGGTCACGATGAGTTTCATTTGCTATAGGTGTTTGGTAATAACAGATGCATACCATCATCACTTTCACGATTTTAACATGAGATGTACAATGTAAAGAACAACAAACGCAAAATTTGACCCAAGCCAATGAAGCATAAAATATAAATCAGTGAAAAAGTTTTGAAATGAGGGTTTGATTTCGGGGTTTGTGGGGTTTAACGCCATTTTTCAACACATTATGGGCTCTGCATAGCGGCTAGTATATTTGGTGGAGGAATTACCCAGGAAGAATCACAGACCCACATAGAAACTCTCTTGCATACCCACTTTGGCCGAGTGGAGACGAACAAAAGTGGGATGTTAGTGATCTGTAAATGCGAGCGCCATATATGACATGACCTCTTGAAATAAGTGAGTAGTGCTCATAAAGATATATCCTTCACCAATTTTCATTCTGAATTGGATAGTATGCACGTATCATACAAAATTCCTATGTGGTCGTGCTTTAAGAAAAAAAATAAGTCAGTAAAATGAGAAATGCATGACATAGTAAACTGTTGTGAGAAGGGTGTAGTAGAAAGAAAGATGGATATAATCACATTATTCAATTGTTTGTTTTCAAGCATGAATAGAGAAAACATCAACATGAACCAAAGTATGATTGGTTTGGTATGGTGATTTACGGCACAGTAACACAAGCAGGTTATTTAGTATCGAGGCAATTGGAACAAAGTGTCTTGCCCAATGTTGACCCAGGCTGGTCCAATGGTACGATTCGAACCCACATCCTTAACTTGTGGGAAATACGTTATTGAAAAAAAGTTTAGTGTTTTCTATTAAATTGGCCACCATTGAAAAACGCGTGGACAGTAATAATTTGAAAGGTCAAATTCCCTTCATTTTGAGAAGCTACGTAAAACTTGTCAGATGAAGTCAAAGGTTAGCAATAGGTCGTAAATCCCCATCACAATACTCCCGTCTTGACAAAGTTTGATCGGGCGGGGTAATTAGAGAGAAACGGCGGACAATTTAAGGAAATAGAAATAATTAAGACCTAAATTAAAGATGCTTATGAATATTCGTGTACTATATATAACGATGTAACAGCTGGAATTAATTGCCTTTCTTTGTAGATACAAGATATTACATTTTACAGCACGTTTGTCTGCCAGTTAATATTCCCAGACACAAATAACCATATTGTTAGCCATATTTTAGATTTATAAGAGTATCCAGACAGAAATTGTACTGAAACATTCGCAAATCCAAAACGTTCAACATTGGGAAATTACTAGATGAGAAGAAACTCTACTAAAGTATAAAAGAGCATCGGAATTTTTGAATATACAGAGGGAAAAATGGAGAAATGTATGCTTTATAATGTATTATTCAAGGGAAAATGAAAAGACAGCAACAATAACCAACTCTTGTTTGGTTTAAAACAGGACTACAAAAATTAAGTATCATGCCTATTTGGTTATTTTACAGATTCCAGAATTAGAAGTCTTAAATATAAACTAGAAAATATTGTAATGAAGAGAAAACAAGAACGATTCTATTTATCTGCTTTCTGTTTTAATACATTCCAATAAACTACATAGAATTTTAAGAAAAAAAGGGAAAATATAAAATGTACAGCAGAAAATATTTCGAAAACCTGGTAATACACATATAACAAAAAATGGATATATTTTTGTTTAGCATGTATAGAAATTAGAGAACACTGGTTTACAAATAGCCCGTTCACTAAGGGAGATAAAAATGGCCTGTCAATCTGATACTTATAAGAGATGCAACAACAAAAAACATTTGTTTTAAAAAAAGACAGCAAAGTTGGAATAAATAGACATAGAAATTAAAATCAATGAGTTTAAAAAGACTGAAAAGACAGCATAGAGCAAAATAGTAAATTCGTTCAGAAATACAGCGATTACAAAATATTGATATTTTGGAAGAAGCCTGTGAAAATATATCACTAGCATGGTTTTAAAAATTGAAGCACGGGGCCCTAGTTACAACTGTCTTCCTATTTTCCAATGGGATGCCTAAGGATCTCTCCAATTACTAATTTTACAGTTTGTTTCTCTAGAGTCAAAGTATTGGGTTGCTAATCGATTTTGCCTGGAGACACAAGAAAAGCAAACAACAGTGTGCTGTGTCTGAGTTACACCCAATTCGGGTTCTTCAGCTCCATCTTTATAGAGCTCAATAAGGTAAACACCAACCCCCATTATTTGTAATCCTTGTCAAGCTGTACCGTATATACTCGTTTATTAGTCGGGTCCAACTGCAAACTGCATAGACCCAGATCTGCTATTGCATAATTCGCTGGGAGAACAAGCAACATAGACCCTGGTACGCTGGCGCATTATTATATGGCAGATGATCAGGATATTTGTTGTTTGCAAATTGACTCGACTTATAAGCGGTAAAGACCGTAGTTAATTTTGCACACTAGAAATGTGTTAACTTTCCTGATAGGATGGAGGACTATGGGGAGATGCATTTTGTCTTGGCTGGATTTTAAGTATATCTATGATACATCTATAAAACTTATTTTATGCAGTCAAAAATTCCATGGCTTGCTCATATGCGAGTTGAATAACAACTGTTTTTGAAAGAGATTTAGATGTAATCGTTGTGATACTTCCCAGTTTGATGAGTTTTTGGAGGACAAACATCGAGCAAACGACACAAAAGCTGGGGGGGGTCTATCGAAGAGGAATATATTTTTCTTTACCTCAGCATAATTAATTTTTGGAAAAATTAATGCAAAGGCTATAAGTTGTTTGTTTTTATTCGACAGATCGGGGCAAATTTCTTTTTAAGTTATCAGTTTTAGGGTCATACCTTGAAAATTAAATGATCGGTCCCTAAATTAGGCATTGTACACGTGAAGCCCAAAGCATTATGAGACTGACAACTACATATAATATTTATTTAACTCTTAATAACATGTAAAAACTACACACCTGAGTTCAGGTCAGTCTTTCTCCTTGTATAGTACCTACGTTTGTCAGTCAGTAACGAACTTTAAATTCTGTCTAAATTTTAACAAATCTTGTGTTAATCCGAAGTATCTTTAAACATTAACTCACAGTGAAGTTCTTGTCATAAGTGCATTTCATTTGTATGAAAGTTGGAACGGTAAACAAAACTACGTGCCATTGGTCAATGATTTCACTTCTTGATACGCACTAATGCCAGACTAATGTTGCAAAATAGATATATACAGTCGTACCTTAATGAACATGTTCTAAAATTATAAACAATTTTCATGAAATCAATGCCAAGAAATCTACTCCCACGGATCGCCACAAGAAAGAGAAATATTCTATAATAGATTGGGACTACATAATCGGATACTGACACGGATAATTGATAAAAGGAAGCTTAACGTTTTCATTGTTGTTGTTCTAATTTAAATAATATCAATAATCTTGTCGTAGCTAGAAA